CAATTTGCACTATTTCTGGCAGTCTGCAACCCCCCAAAGTCTCTGACAAAGAAGCTTCCTTCTCTGTCTTTTTACACCCCTGGCTCATCTTTTCTTCCTTATCTGTTGGACGTTTTTGAGCAGAATCAGCATTGGGCAGTTGGTGGACGCAGGCTGGAGAAACACGGACTTTGGGCATGGGGTTGTAGCAGCATGTCTACAATGAACATTGGAAGAAAAGCTCATGCTAAGAAAGAAAAGGATTCTGCTTTAGCAGATGTCAGTGGCATCACTAAGAGGGTACGATGGGTGGATCATGCTTAAGCACAATGGCCAGAGCCCTGCTGAAGTCTTGGAGCTATGTTGTGTAAAGCTTCTGGGTGGGACCGATTTGATTTCAGCCACTTTTATTTAACTCATAACTCAAAGCTGCTGCTTTGAAGGAGCTGGCTTTATTGGTTTTAGATCACAGTTCAAGCCAGTTGTGAGGAAGATTCTGGTTAGTAATATTTTTTTTCCAAGGAAGAAGTTTATTGTTTAAGATACCTTTAGTACATATTCAGAGATGGTAGGTTGGTGGACACTAAGCAATGACTGCTTTCAGATTAATTTTCAGTTCATCAGAAAATGAGTTCCCTATCTAGACCTCTCATTTTTCATGAACTCCATTCTCTCTTTCTTGGTCTTCTCAGTCTTTTCACTTAGAAAGAGGAGAAGCCTAGAGAGTCTTCAGTACTGAGTTCTCTTTGCTTTTAGGGGAAAGAAAGCTGAAATCTCCAAAGCATCATCTTCATTAAGAATGAATATAGAGCTGGTGGAGGTTTAGTTGCCATTCTTGAGTTGCTGTCCTTGAATATTTCTGTCTCTTTGTGCTTTTCACAGGTTATTCCTCAGCCGTGCAAAAATTTGCTCAGACTCTTCAGTCCTTTCAGTTTGATTTTATCGGGGACACTCTGACCGATGATGAGATCAATATTGGTAAGTGCTTTCTTTGCAGCTTGGGCTGCCATTGCTGGAAAAGTTTGCACCTCCAAGGATTTTTGTTTGTTTGTTCTTTGCCATCAAGTGGGCTTTGACTTATGGTGACCCTACGAATGAGAGACCTCCAAGCCACCCTCTTATTAATGGCCATGCTCAGGTCTTGCAAACTCAGGGCCATGGCTTCCTTGATTGACTCGATCCACCTGTTTGCGGTCTCCCTCTTTCCCTATTACCTTCTACTTTATAGAGCATTATTGTCTTTTCCAATGAGTCACATCATGTGCAAAGTACAACAGCCTCAGTTTAATAATCTCTACTTCTAGTGAGACCTCTATGGATATCCCTCATTAACAACAACATTTCTGGTTGTCAAATGCTTCAAGGTATTTCAAGGCACAGCTTGGTACTGAAATACACTAAAAGCACCAGATCTTGTCTGATCTTGGAAACTAAGCAGGGTCAGCTCTGGTTAGGATTGCAATAGCACATGGGTAGGCAACCTTTCCCCTTTAAGGGCCGAGGGACTTCAGCTCCCAGAATTCCAGGAGCTATTGGCCAACATGGCTGAGGCTTCTGGGAGCTGAAGTCCCTCGGCCCTTAAAGGGGAAAGGTTGCCTACCCCTGCAATAGCAGGTCCTGTTGGTTTTATTTTAGAGGAAGGAACTGGCAACCCCACCTCTGAGTGAGATTCCTTGCCTAAGAAAACCCTGGGAAATTCATGGGGTTGCCTAAGTCAATGGGCTACCTGAAGACACACATACACACAAATTATATCAAACATGTTTTTAATGAAAACATTAAGTGCACTATGCTGATTTTGCAGCTCTTCTTTGTTCTCTTTTCTCTCCTTCACAGCTGAATCCTTTAAGGAGTTTGCAGAGCTGCTCCAGGAAGTGGAACTGGAGAGATCCATGATGGTAAGCTCCACTTGCCTTCCTTGATGGTCCCAGGGGCATGGAGGGCTTCATTTGCAAGATATGGGCTGAATTGTCATCTGGGATGCAGACATTCAAGACATGGTCAGGGAGATGGAGTCATGGCAGACCTCTGGGATGATCCCCCACCTTGCTGGTCTCTGAGGATGATGATGATGATGATGATTTTATTCATTTATGTCCTGCCCTTTCCCCCAGTAATGGGACTCAAGATGGCTTACAACATATTGAAAGCAATACTGGTTAAAATGATACAAAAACTTTAGTAGAAATATAGACATAGATATTATTTAAAGGATAACTAAAATTTTGCACAGCTAAAGGCATTACAGTTCATTGAAAGACAATATATACCTACAATAAGAGAGCACAGCGTGCCATGGAAAGCCCATTCCAGTCAGTTTCCAAAAGCCTAACAGCCTCAGACTCGCCGATGGAAGGAGAGCAAGGAAGGAACCATCCTATCCTCCCTGGGAAGCGAGTTCCAAAGTCTACCACCAGCATTTCAGTTGCAAGGCTGGAAAGTGGAGAGGGCTCTTGTGCATTTAATGATTGCATAGAAGAGGGGATTTCAGAAAGAGTGGCTTATCGTACAACTAGGTCACAAACAATACCTGCTGAAATGCTTTCTTCTGTTGTTGTTGTGTGCCTTTAAGCTGTTTTTGACTTATGGCAACCCTGAAGTGAACCTATCACAGGGTTTTCTTGGCATGATTTGTTCAGAGGGGGTTTGGTATGGCCTTCCTCTAGGCTGAGAGAGTGTGACTTGCCCAAGGTCACCCAGTGGTTTTCCATGGCCAAGTGTGGTTTCGAACCCTGGTCATAATTCAATACTCAAACCACTACACCACAGTGGCTCTCCTCTTTCTACACAACCAATAAATGTCTCCAGTTTTCAGTCTGGCAGCCCTAATCCGTTGACTGTTAAAACAGCCTAAAAAATTCCCAGTCTCAAAACCTGAATTGATTAAAAATGATTTTTGATACACCATTGGAGACCTCACTGTTCAGATCTTAAAATCCAGGTTTATCAATACGTTATTCTACAACTAAATTACTCCTTATTAAATTTTTTTGTAACTTTTCCCCTTAGGTGCAAAATGCTAGCGACTTGTTGATCAAACCACTGGAAAACTTCCGTAAGGAGCAAATTGGATTCACCAAAGTAAGTTCCCCCCCTTTATGTGCACTTTAAAAAATGAAAGTTTCTCTTATACATTGCTGTCATTGAGTGCCTTCAGGTTGTTTCCAACTCATGACAACCCTAAGGTAAACCTTTTATGGGGATCTCTTGGCCAGATTTGGTCAGGAGTGGTTTGCCCTTGCCTTCTTCTTCTTCTTAGTCTGCTGAGAAAGTGTGACGTGCCTAAGGTCCCCCAATGGGTTTCCATGGCTGAGTGAGGATTTGAACCCTGGTCTCCCAGAATCCTAATCCAGCACTCAAGCCACATTTGACTCTTTTGGAAAAAGTGATTGGGACGACATTTCCTCCAAGGCCTGAGAGAATGTGACTTGCCCAAGGTTTCTAGGTGAGTTTTTCAGGGTGAACAGAGATTCGAACCCTGGTCTCTAGGCATCCTAGTGCAAACATTGCCATGGCCTTCCTCTGAGGCTGAGAGAGTGTGAGTTTCCCAAGAACACCCAGTGGGTTTTCGTGTCTGTGCGGGGATTTGAACCCTGGTCTCCCAGAGTCCTAGTCCAACACTCAGACCGCTGTGCCACACTGCCTCTCTATTATATCACACTGTCTCCCTCTCTTATATCTTGAGGGTTTTAAAGACATAGCATTTCTGCTGGTATTTATTCTGAAAATAAATAAAGGATCACAATGGTTTGTTCTAGTTCGTGGGACAAACCGCTATTAAACCATGGTTTGTGTCCTCTCTAAATGTAGCCCACATGATATGCAATCGGTGCAAACGGCACCTCTCATGGTACGTGAAAAGTTAATTTAAATGAATCATTAAAACGTTTGCAGTAAATTCATTTATTTTATTTAATTCTTTTTGCAAGCTGAGAAGCACTTCCTCACATAAGTGGGAAAGTTTTGTTTTCTCCCTCGGCCGGTATCAAAAAGTCAAGGCTCTGTGTGAGTCATCAGGCATTTCCAAAGCCTCTGGCTGTCAACCAGTTTTGAAATGGAGACTTCTTGGAGAAGGCTTGGGCTTGGATCTGGCCCAGCCCATCTGGACATTTCAGCAAGACCGCAAGGCTCAGCCCCCAGCCCCCCTCTCCCTCTCCCTCTCCCTCTCCCACCCCACGCCCCAGGATAGACCCCCTTCCCAAACACAGGCCACGAAAGGTAGAAAAGAAATGCTGTCTTCTGGCCTCTTCCTTCTCCCACTTAGGGCTCAAGATGTATGTTCTTGGCCCTTTTTGAAGGCAGAAAACATGTCTCTGACTCCACCCTGCGTGCAAAAGTTTTCTTTCTTTCTTTCTTTCTTTCTTTCTTTCTTTCTTTCTTTCTTTGCTTTTCCTATTAATCTGCAAAATGCATATCATTTAAGCAGGGTGGGGGGAAGATTCCATATAATTCAGGACCTCCCATGGAGTGGGAAATAAGGTGGGTCTGGGCTTGTTTCACAGAATGACTAACTAGTAGGGACTTAGTTCCATCTCTTCCTCCTCCTCCTCCTCCTCCTCCTCCTCCTCCT